TAAAGTGTTTACAATGAAGCATATATGTGAACAGTATTTAGATAAAGGTAGGGAAGTTTTTATTGCATTTATGGATTTAGAAAAGGCATATGATAGAGTGGATAGAGGAGCAATGTGGCAGATGTTGCAAGCATATGGAATAGGTGGTAAGTTACTAAATGCTGTAAAGAGCTTTTATGAGGATAGTGAGGCTCAGGTTAGGGTATGTAGAAGAGAGGGAGAATACTTCCCGGTAAAAGTAGGTCTTAGACAGGGATGTGTAATGTTACCATGGTTGTTTAATATATTTATAGATGGGGTTTAAAAGAAGTAAATGCTAGAGTGTTTGGGAGGAGGGGGTGGGATTAAATTAGGGGGGATCAAATTAAAAATGGGAACTGACACATTTATTTTTTGCTGATAAAACTGGGGCTTTTTTGGGAGATTCTAAAGAAAAATTGCAAAGGTTAGGGGATGATTTTTTTTGAAAAATTGTGGTAAAGGTAAAAAATTTGAAAGTGAACATAAAAAGAGAAGGTGATAAAGGATATCAAATGTTTTAAGATAAAGAAAAATTGGATATCAAATTGGGGAGGAGGAGTAGGGAAAGAAGTAAATTTTGTTTTCAGATTTTTGGGAGTTGACGTGCCCCGGGGGAGGGGTTTTATAAAGGGATGGAAAAATCATAGAATTGATAAAGGGAAAAAAGGGTGAGTGGTGCGTTGAGGAAATTTTGGGGAGTAAAAAAAACTTTATCTATGGGGGCCCAAAAAGGGGAAAATGTATGAAAGTATATAATACCAACACCCCTTATATGGATTTTAAATTTTGGGGTGGTAAATGCAGAAAGCGAGGAGAGGGTTTGGAAAGGCAGTGGAGATGCCCCTTCTAAGGGCAATGTGGGTGTAAAATTATGCAGAAAAATTCGGAGTGGGGGAAATTAGGAGAAGGTGTGGATTTTAAAAAAAGCATTAGCCCAGAGGGCAGAAGGGGGGTTGTTGAGGTGGTTTGGTCATTTAAAAAGAGAATGGAACAAAGGGAGAATGACATGGAAAGAAAAATAAATCTTAGGGGAAGGAAGGAGGGGTAGGGGTCGTCCCCGAAAGGGGTTTGGAAAAAAGGGGGTTTAAAAGGGGGTTTTGTGGGCAAGGGGTTTTTTTGGGCTTCCCCAAGCATGCATGAGCGTGTTTGATAAGGGGGGTGAATTTGGGGAAAAAGGGAAAGATACTTTGGGGCCTGACGTCTGTTTTGGGGTGTGGGGCAGGGGAATATTTAAAGGAAAGGGTTTTAGGGGAAAACCCGGGTTTTTTTCATATAGCGGACCGATCCTTTAAAAAGGGAAGTAAAAATGCCCCGGGACTTAAAAAGGGGGGGTTTTGGGGTATTGGCAGTTTTTGGGGGATAGTTTTTTACTTTAAAAACGTATATGCTTTTAAAAATGTTGTATTCTGAGCACCTCTGCAAAAGCAGTGAAAAATGTTTAGTGTGGGGGAAAGGGTTTTAATGAGGGTGAAAAGTTTTTCTTTTTGGGATTTTTTTCTTTTGGGGGGGGGGGCCCTGCCCGGGGGGAGACGGCCGACTTGTTGGGAAAAAAAAAAAAAAAAAAAAAAATTGTTAGTATACCTGGTTAAAATTTTATGGGAGAGTTTTTATTGAAAAAGTTAAGATAGACGGGGAATAGGGTAGCAATGAACAAGGAGGCTTTTTGGAAAGGTAGGGGGTGTGTGGACCAGGTGTTTACAGTGAAACATATAAATGAACAGTATTTAGATAAGGCTAAAAAGGTCTTTTTGGGAATTTTTGGATTTTGGGAAAAGGGGTATGAAAAGGGGGACAGGGGGGGAATGTGGCAGATGTTGCAGGTGTATGGTGTAGGAGGTAGGTTACTGAAAGCAGTGAAGAGTTTTTACGAGGATAGTGAGGCTCAAGTTAGAGTATGTGGGAAAGAGGGAGATTATTTCCCGAAAAAGTAGGCCTTAGACAAGGATGTGTGATGTCACCGTGTTGTTTAATACATTTATAGATGGATTGTAAGAGAAGTAAATGCGAGGGTCTTGGCAAGAGGCGTGGAGTTAAAAGATAAAGAATCACACATAAAGTGGGATTGTCACAGTTGCTCTTTGCTGATGACACTGTGTCTTGGAAGATTCTGAAGAGAAGTTGCAGAGATTGTGGATAATTTGGTAGGGTGTGCAAAAGAAGAAAATTAAAAGTGAATACAGGAAAGAGTAAGGTTATGAGGATAACAAAAAGATTAGGTGATGAAAGATTTGGATATCAAATTGGAGGGAGAGAGTATGGAGGGGGTGAATGTATTCAGATATTTGGGAGTGGGACGTGTCAGCGATGGGTTTATGAAAGATGAGGTGAATCATAGAACTGATGAGGGAAAGGGTGAGTGGTGCACTAGGAGTCTGTGGAGACAAAGAACTTTGTCCTTGGAGGCAAAGAGGGGAATGTATGAGAGTATAGTTTTACCAATGCTCTTATAATGGGTGTGAAGCATGTGTGATGAATGTTGCAGCGAGGAGAAGGCTGGAGGCAGTGGAGATGTCATGTCTGAGGGCAATGTGTGGTGTGAATATAATGCAGAGAATTCGTAGTTGGAAGTTAGGAGGAGAGTGCGGGATTACCAAACTGTTGTCCAGAGGCTGAGAAGGGTTGTTGAGTGGTTCGGACATGTAGAGAGAATGGAGCGAAACAGAATGACTTCAAGAGTGTATCAGTCTGTAGCGGAAGAAGGCGGGGTAGAGGTCGGCCTAGGAAAGGTTGGAGGGAGGGGTAAAGGAGGTTTTGTGTGCGAGGGGCTTGGACTTCCAGCAGGCATGCGTGAGCATGTTTGATAGGAATGAATGGAGACAAATGGTTTTTAATACTTGACGTGCTGTTGGAGTGTGAGCAAAGTAACATTTATGAAGGGGTTCAGGGAAACCGGCAGGCAGGACTTGAGTCCTGGAGATGGGAAGTACAGTGCCTGCACTCTGAAGGAGGGGTGTTAATGTTGCAGTTTAAAAACTGTAGTGTAAAGCACCCTTCTGGCAAGACAGTGATGGAGTGAATGATGGTGAAAGTTTTTCTTTTTCGGGCCACCCTGCCTTGGTGGGAATCGGCCAGTGTGATAATAAAAAAATAATAAAAAATAATTAAAAGGAGAAACTTTTGTTTTTCCTTTTGGGCCACCCCACCTCAGTGGGATACGGCTGGTATGTTGAAAAAAGAAGTTTACTGCATATACCAGGAAAAGTGTACGGTAGGGTTATTATTGAAAGAATTAGAGGTAAGACAGAGAGTAGGATTGCGGATGAGCAAGGAGGCTATAGAGTGGGTAGGGGATGTGTAGATCAAGTGTTTACATTGAAGCATATATGCAAACAGTATTTAGATAAAGGTAGGGAAGTTTTCATTGCATTTATGGATTTAGAAAAGCATATGATAGAGTGGATAGAGGAGCAATGTGGCAGATGTTGCAAGCATATGGAATAGGTAAGTTACTAAATGCTGTAAAGTTTTTTTATGAGGATAGTGTAATGTCACCATGGTTGTTTAATACATTTATAGGTGGGGTTGTAAAAGAAGTAAATGATAGGGTGTTGGGGAGAGGGGTGGGATTAAATTATGGAGAATCAAATACAAAATGGGAGTTGACACAGTTAGTTTTTGCTAATGATACGGTGCTTATGGGTGATTCTAAAGAAAAGTTGCAAAGGTTAGTGGACGAGTTTGGGAGGGTGTCTAAAGGTAGAAAGTTGAAAGTGAACATAGATAAGAGTAAGGTGATGAGGGTATCAAATCATTTAGATAAAGAAAATTTGGATATCACATGGGAGAGAGAGAGTATGGAAGAAGTGAATGTTTTTAGATATTTGGGTGTCAGTGGATGAGTTTATGAAGGATGAGGTTAACCACAGAATTGATGAAGGATAAAGTTGAGTGGTGCTTGAGGCATATGTGGAGACAAAAAAACGTTATCTATGGAGGCAAAGTAGGGTATGTATGAAAGTATAGAGGTACCAACACTGTTATATGGGTGTGAAGCTTGGGTTGTAAATGCTGCAGTGAGAAGGCAGCTGGAGGCAGTGGAGATGTCTTGTCTAAGGGCAATGTGTGGTGTAAATATTATGCAGAGAATTCAGAGTGTGGAAATTAGGAGAAGGTGTGCAATTAATATAAGTATTAGTCAGAGAGCTGAAGATGGGTTGTTGAGGTAGTTTGGTCATTTAGACAGAATGGATCAAATTAGAATGACTTGAAGAGCGCATAAATCTGTAGGGAAAGGAAGGCAGGATAGGGGCCATTCTCAAAAAGGTTGGAGGGAGGGGTAAAGGAAGTTTTGTGGGCGAGGGGCCTGGACTTCCAGCAAGTGTGGGTGAGCGTGTTAGATAGGAGTGAATGGAGACGAATGGTTTTTGGGACCTGACGAGCTGTTGGAGTGTGAGCAGGGTAATATTTAGTGAAGGGATTTAGGGAAACTAGTTATTTTTATATTGCCAGACTTGAGTACTGGAAATGGGAAGTACAATGCTTGCACTTTAAAGGAGGGGTTTGGGATATTGGCAGTTTGGAGGGATATGTTGTATATCTTTACATATGCATATATGCTTTTAAACTGTTGTATGAGTGAGGTGAAAGTGTTGAATGATGATGAAAGTATTTTCTTTTTGGGGATTTTCTTTCTTTTTGGGTCACCCTGCCTCGGTGGGAGATGGCCAACTTGTTGGGGGGGGGGGGGGGGGGACAGAAAATCAGAAAAATTTCAGACTGATCTTAATGAGCAAATCTTTTTAAATGTGTATAATTAGCAGAATGCACAATAAATTACTTATAAGTTTCTCTTTTAAGGTGAAACATAGTGCACAAAACACACTGACTATATATTAGGCCTAAGTCACTTATTTAAACACTGTAGAATTAAGTAGAAATCTGTCTTCTCCCACTAGCAATATTTTCTGAGCAATATTCATGGTAGCCATCAATCTCCAATATTATGCCAACTTATCATATAAAAATATAATCATATTCACCTATTGCCAGAGGGATAAGCAACAACAATGTCATGGTCTTCATCGATGCCAACCACAGTGCCAGTAGTGCCAAGACATTCAAACATGCCGTCTGTCCAGCCACCGTGCCCATGCTGCAGAGACTGTACAATCTCCAATTCCAAATCAACATTTACCTAAAATTAAAAGTTATAGAGAAATTAATAAATAAATTTAAGTGAAAATTTTAATAAAATCTGCAAAAATTAAGCATGTTAATGAAACTTAAGGCATACATTTAAACTAATTCAGCTGCTATAAGATATTTAAAATATAGAACATTAGCATTATTTAATCTTAATTTGTAAAATATAATGCAGTAATACTCTTATTTAATAAAGCAATCACTATTAAAAATAAAAAAAAACAATGAATACAAAATTAGCATCAATATAGTATATGCATTAATGACAAGCATGTAACTATTATGAGTACTCATACAATACTTTTCAAAGCACTGTATATAGAAACAATCTCTCTGAATTTGGGCACACATAAATGGAATTGCTATACAATTACTGTACCTATTAACAAAAAAAGTTAAAAAGACAGAACTATACAAATACAATTTATCTGAATTCATAGGGACCAGCCAATATCCAATCATTTTTTTTGCTAATCACAATATGCATACTGCAGCTAAAATTTCAAATATGTCAGAAAATGTCTAAACTGCTCCGAAATATCGAAATATGCAATTAAACAACTTTCTTTTGGTGCTTACTGTCATTAACGGTCATTTGGGTCATCCCTGAATTGTTCTGAGTTCTCGCAAAACACCAAAACAAACAAATAAACCAAAATGGACTGATTACTGCAATTATAAAAATGAAGCGAACTGAAATAAAAGATTAGGGCAATTAAAATTTTACAGTAGCAAAGCCATGGCCAGTAATTAACTAGCAAGCATACTCTGCTATTTCTTTGTTGCTTCTTCATCACTTAAGCATGGTTCAATCAGAAATATCAGGCTTTCTATTGCAATAGGTTAAATTTTAAATTTTTTGTAGCCAACCGTGAAAGAAATAGCAAAGCATCCGAATAATATTTTATCATAAATTAGATGATGTTACCAACAAATTTTGTTGAAAATAAGAAAAAGTTTTGGAGTGAGATTAACAAGTTAAGGAAGCCTAGAGAACAAATGGATTTGTCAGTTAAAAATAGGAGAGGAGAGTTATTAAATGGAGAGTTAGAGGTATTGGGAAGATGGAGGGAATATTTTGAGGAATTGTTAAATGTTGATGAAGATAGGGAAGCTGTGATTTCGTGTATAGGGCAAGGAGGAATAACATCTTGTAGGAGTGAGGAAGAGCCAGTTGTGAGTGTGGGGGAAGTTCGTGAGGCAGTAGGTAAAATGAAAGGGGTAAGGCAGCCGGGATTGATGGGATAAAGATAGAAATGTTAAAAGCAGATGGGGATATAGTTTTGGAGTAGTTGGTGGAATTATTTAATAAATGTATGGAAGAGGGTAAGGTACCTAGGGATTGGCAGAGAGCATGTATAGTTCCTTTGTATAAAGGCAAAGGGGGATAAAAGAGAGTGCAAAAATTATAGGGGGATAAGTCTGTTGAGTATACTGGCAAAGTGTATGGTAGAGTTATTATTGAAAGAATTAAGAGTAAGACAGAGAATAGGATAGCAGATGAACAAGGAGGCTTTAGGAAAGGTAGGGGGTGTGTGGACCAGGTGTTTACAGTGAAACATATAAGTGAACAGTATTTAGATAAGGCTAAAGAGGTCTTTGTGGCATTTATGGATTTGGAAAAGGCGTATGACAGGGTGATAGGGGGGCAATGTGGCAGATGTTGCAGGTGTATGGTGTAGGAGGTAGGTTACTGAAAGCAGTGAAGAGTTTTTACGAGGATAGTGAGGCTCAAGTTAGAGTATGTAGGAAAGAGGGAAATATTTCCCAGTAAAAGTAGGCCTTAGACAAGGATGTGTGATGTCACCGTGGTTGTTTAATATATTATAGATAGGGTTGTAAGAGAAGTAAATGCGAGGCTCTTGGCAAGAGGCGTGGAGTTAAAAGATAAAGAATCACACATAAAGTGGGAGTTGTCATAGTTGCTCTTTGCTGATGACACTGCTCTTGGGAGATTCTGAAGAGAAGTTGCAGAGATTGGTGGATGAATTTGGTAGGTGTGCAAAAGAAGAAAATTGAAAGTGAATACAGGAAAGAGTAAGGTTAATGAGGATAACAAAAAGATTAGGTGATGAAAGATTGGATATCAGATTGGAGGGAGAGAGTATGGAGGAGGTGAACGTATTCAGATATTTGGGAGTGGACGTGTCAGCGGATGGGTCATGAAAGATGAGGTGAATCATAGAATTGATGAGGGGAAAAGGGTGAGTGGTGCACTTAGGAGTCTGTGGAGACAAAGAACTTTGTCCTTGGAGGCAAAGAGGGGAATGTATGAGAGTATAGTTTTACCAACGCTCTATATGGGTGTGAAGCATGGGTGATGAATGTTGCAGCGAAGAGAAGGCTGGAGGCAGTGGAGATGTCATGTCTGAGAGCAATGTGTGGAGTGAATATATGCAGAGAATTCGTAGTTTGGAAGTTAGGAGGAGGTGCGGGATTACCAAAACTGTTGTCCAGAGGGCTGAGGAAGGGTTGTTGAGGTGGTTCGAACATGTGGAGAGAATGGAGCGAAACAGAATAACTTCAAGAGTGTATCAGTCTGTAGTGGAAGGAAGGCGGGTAGGGGTCGGCCTAGAATGGTTGGAGGGAGGGGGTAAAGGAGGTTTTGTGTGCGAGGGGCTTGGACTTCCAGCAGGCATGCGTGAGCGGTTTGATAGAGTGGAATGGAGACAAATGGTTTTTAATACTTGACGTGCTTTTGGAGTGTGAGCAAAGTAACATTTGTAAAGGGGGTTCAGGGAAACCCGGAGGCCGGACTTGAGCCCGGGAGATGGGAAAACTGCCTGCATCGGGGAGGGGGTTTGTTGGTTTTAAAAAGTATGAAAAACACCCTTCTGGCAAGACAGTGATGGAGGAATGATGGTGAAATTTTTTCTTTTTCGGGCACCCTGCTTGGGGGGAATGGGCCATGTGTAATAAAAATAATAATAAATTAATTACTTCAAGTCGTTTTTCAGAAAAAATATTACAAGTGAAGTGCGTAATGCCCACAACAACTGAAGAATATATATGTAAAACAAGTCATTCATATTAAAAAAGAATACAGGTGCACCCAAAATCAGTAATGCACTTCTGCAAAATTTGATTTTTTTTCATGAATGGATTTTAAAATATTCTATTTGTACTGTATTAAAAACAAAAACTATTATCCCCGTGCATTTTCACTAAACATAAAATACTTGCGCTTATTTCCCTGTTTTCTTCTTTATAAAACTTTCTGTTATAACTCCACTTTTCCCCTTTTGCAATCTTTCCTTTATTTTTATATTTTTGTAATACCAACATGTTTAATCCTAAATAATTCTACCTTCTCCTCCTCTGAAGTCATGAGCAACTATTACTTTTGGTTTTCATTTAACTTTACATTGCTTTTTTATTAACCCTTCGGGTTTTCCCCGACATACTATACGGCTTACACACCAGGGTTTTTGAGTACAGTAGGGCTTACCCCCAGGTTATTGACGTACTATACCCTAAATTCGCCTTCAAATCTACGAGAGAAAGCGGGTAGGCCTACACATGAAAGAATGGGTTATGTGGTCAGTGTGCACAGTATAAAAAAAATCCTGCAGCACACAGTGCGTAATGGAAAAAAAACTTTGACCATGTTTTTGGTTTAAAAAAGGCGTTTTTCACTGTATTTTCGTATGGTATTTTTTGTTTTATTCTAGTTTTTTCCCGGTCTCATTTTATAGAATGGAAACATAATACAGAAATTGAGATGATTTTTTATTTGGTTCACAATGAAAAAATACCTTGAAAATTTGGGTCAAAGTACAGAAATGTTCGATTTTTGCCAAATTCAAAAGTAAACAATCATGCCCCGCGTCCAATCACGTCAACCCGGTGGTCTAATTTCTTTCCAAGTGCTCTGATATTTTATACCATTTCTACACTAATGCAGTAGTCTGCATAACGTAAATCTCTATTTTTTGTGGAAAAAAATTCAAAATGGAAAGCAAAAGAAATGTAAAAGGGGGCCTGGGGGCTGATAATGAACAGAAAATGTTATTTTATGCCGGAATGTCTGTCTTTTTATTTGGACCCTATTTGGAAAGGCACTTTTGAAATTTGTGTGAAAAAAGCAAAATTGCTATTTTTTGACCATTTATTTGGATAGTTTTAAATCGGGGAAATGGGTGGTTTTTGACTCTTCGATAGAAAAAATGGAGTTTAGTGAAATATTTTGTTTTTGTCGTCTAGTATGGGGGAATTGGCCCAAAAATAGGCTCAAACCAGGCGAAAATCGCGATGCATTGTCGGACCGTAACTTCGCGGGCATAAATTCTGTAAGTTTTCCATCAAATTTCTACTTTTGCTGCATTTAAGGAAAAGTTTCTCTATCTTTTAATAAAAAAATAATTTTTTTTTTTTGAAAGGGGCGACAGGCCTTGACGTCGCGACCCCAAACCTAGTTTACAAAATTTTTTTTTAAAAAAAAAAAAAAAAAAAAATTTTTTTTTCTTATAAAAATTTTGAGAATCTTTTCCCGATGTTAACCCTTGACTGTCGCGGCCGTAACAACGCCTTACAAGGTACCGGGTTTGAGTATTTTTAAACAGTGGACCCCCGCATACCGTCGCCATCACAAACGACAATCCGTACCGCCGCTTTATCGAAAAAATTTTTTTGCCTCGCATACCGTCAAAAACCCCACCCCTTCGTCCGGACACGTCCAATGTGCGCCCTTAGCCGCCTCACAGTGCCGCTGGTGGCTTGTTTCCGCCCCTCCGCGGTAACATAAAAGCATACAATCGGAAATTTCGTATTATTACAGTGTTTTTGGTGTTTTATCTGCCAAAAAAGTGCCATGGGCCCAAGAAAGCTTCTGTGCCAACCCAAGCAAAAGGGTGAAATTAAAATAGAGATGAAAAAAAGGATCATTGATAAGTATAAAAGTGGTTTGCGGTCGCCAACAAGGCCCAGGTTGTACAAGAAACCCAATCAACCATCGCTCTATTTGGGGGCAACAGAAAGGAAATTTAAAGGGAA